TATATATATATATATATATATATATATATGAGAAAACTGTCAATAGGTTGTCACCTGTGATGAACACTAATTTTTGTTATGCTTCTAGTCGTCAGATCTTTACAGACTTAAAGGGTTTATGTTACTATGTGAGTTAGATCGTCAGTTCGAGATGATTGAGTGTGCCTTATATATATGAGGATTTACGGAAAAAACTAGAACAAATATTTTATCAAAACTTCAAATGACCAAAATCCCCCTGGACTATGTCAGGGTGTTTTTTTTGTCATTTTACATTTTTTGAAATATATCTTTCATATTTTTTGCTAGTGTGTGATGTTGTCAAGTAGATACTCTTAAAATTTCTGCTTAATCTTATTTGCAGAAAAACGATTAAGATTCAAATAGTAATATGCATTCTCAACCCTCAGGTTAGGATCTGATGGTTGGAAGCATAACCGAAATTGCTATTTGTTTAGGTGCCAACACATTGGTAGATTTTTCCCTACACACCCACACACACACACACATACACATAAATGTAGAGTTTGCATTTACTTAGAAACCCCCTAAAAGTACAAGTGCTAATGTTAGAATGGGTTGTGATGGGTGTTTTCTTCTAAAAAGATATTGTCTTTTTGGTTAAAAATTGCTTTCTATTGGTGGTTTAACCATTAATTGTACATTCAAAATTTCCACATTACAATGGAATTTCAAAAGGAAATATCCTTGAACTTTATTAGTGCAGAATGCCCTTGGTCTCTAGTGAAAACTTCAAATATGGCCCTTTCAAGATGATAAAATTACCCCTCATGGAGGCTAATCTCTAAAAGTAATTTTTTAGTAAAGGAAACGATACATTTAGAGCCACCCTTCACAATCCATTCTCATATTAACTTTTGTATTTTAAAAGGTCTTTAGGTTGTTTCAATAAAAGATAGGGTTGGTTGCTAAGGATAGATTATCCGAGGATATTTGGAAAGGCAATTCTACACGTTAAATAAATTTGATGAACTTTGAGAAATTCTTGATGAGATGGATACCGTTAAGTATATTAAGACTCACTATATTCTGATTATGTCCTTTTAGAAGTCAAAGAGATCTGTTATTCCAGCAGTGGAGATAGAGCCACCAGGTTGCTCTTTCAATCCATCTACTGATGACCACCAGGTATGTGGCATTGACTGTGATGATCTTTCAAGTTATAAGTAAAGCAAATATGAGTTATATGTCACATTCATGCTTTGCTTTATTGCCAAACTAGGATTCTCTGGCTGTTGCTGTTGCTGATGAAATGCAAAAAGTGTACCGAGCTGAATTGGGTCCTCAACCTGTTCCTCGAAGGGTTCATGGGACCAAAATAGATGAAGAAGATGTAAGTATTTTATGTTTCGGTCATGTATGCTTCTCTTATTTTTTTCTATATCCTTTTCCTGACTTGGATAGAGTTATTTTAAGTCAAGAAACTAATTCTCAGACTTCTTACGATCTGCATTATTCACAAGGTCTTGTTAGTTTATCCTGACTATACCAATAAATAATTCGAATAATATATTTGTAATACACTGATTTCATGGTACTGTCAAAATATTGTATGACTTTCAAGTACCTTTGCATTATTGAAATGGTGTAAATATGCTCATCATGATGTCCTCCATAAAGGATGCTTCATACTTCTTTCCTGATATAAGTTACGCACATGATCTTCCACATATATAATCTGTGATGATGTCGAAAGCATGTCATGGATCCTTATCCATTCTACCCACAGCTTAGCATATATAAAGATGGAAAGGTATGCAATAAAACCATTTACTTTAAGTACTAGGAGGTCAAATAAACCGAGGCCTTTAGATGTAAAATTTGATGGTTAGGAAAGTGCTGTTTGCTGGTTTAGAAGTCCAAAAAAGTTTTTTTCAAACTTTGTGGCAAGCCACTAGCCACCTGATTTCAGATCTGACCACTAGGAGTAATTGTGACCTTCTTGTACCAATATGTTCTTATTGTATACAATTACTATGAAGATTACCCCATTGAATATCTGAATGGCAAGGTAATTCCATGTTTAGTACGTTTTTACTTTGTTGTATATTACTTGTTAGGCTCAAGATTCAGACTACCCTGTGAACTAGTTGCATCTAATGTTTATATAATAGCTGGATCATGATTTTCTTACCTGGAAAGAGAGAATAATATGCCTGATAGGATGGAACTATCCTTGTACCGGTTCTTTGATTATTTAGGAAAGCACAACAGAAGCAAGTTTGAACAAAAATTGTCTAAGGGATGCCCATACATGTGGGAAGGAGTGCCATCCTTGGAGAAGGTCTTAACTTCCAGGCTTGGAGCTCTGCTTAATCAGGGATTGTGTTTCTACGGCCTTGAGTGTTTCTTTTGGTTGGTTTTGTTGTGTGTGTTTTTTTTGCAACCATTGTTTGAAGTATTCCAAAACTATTTTTTTGCTACCATTGTTTGAAGTATTCCAAAACTATTTTCTTGCTACCATTGTTTGAAGTATTCCAAAACTATTTTTTTGCTACCATTGTTTAAAGTATTCCAAAACTATTCACTGAGTTTCCTTGTCTTTGATTAGTATCAATTTTGCTTCTTTTTTTTACCACTTTCTGTCGATACCATTTTCTTCATTTTTCCATCCTTAGCCATCCCAGCCCATTCTGAAATTTCATCTCTCAATTTAACTTAAATCTGCCCACCTTTTAACCCCCTTCTATCTGTAATTTCTAACCCAAAATTTTCCCATTTCTCAGCCGTTTTGAAATTTCATTTTTCTAAAGAAAAAATCTGTCAATCCTTGAAAACACCGTCTCCCTCCATTGAGGAACCCTCCCAATGCATATCCATACCCCACCTTTTCTATCTTTCTCTCTAGCCCTTGTCTTTTGTGTTTGGTGTAATCAAAGATTTAAGAAGATCCTTTCCTCAGACCTCTGTAAGAAAACTCAACCCAGTCAACTCGGACTTGGTCAAGTTCATAGTTATCGGAATCTCTCCACCGACCTCTCGTTTCTGGTTCCCAAACCTAATTTCGCGTTTCCGTTAAGGAATCTCTATGGAAACCATTTTTCGGAACCAAGGAAACTCGATTCTTTAATTTTGGAATCTCGATTCGACACATCTTTAGATACCATTTTTCGAAACCAAGGAAACTCGATTCGTTAATTTCAGAATCTCGATTCAACACATCTTTAGAAACCATTTATCGGAACGAAGAAAACTCGATTCCTTAATTTCAGAATCTTGATCCAACACATCTTTAGAAACTTGAACCCATTAACTGTGGGTAGACGTTCCCAAATATATCGATTTTGGATTCCAGCAAGGATTAAATCTTGATTCCACGTCAATTGGAGTAGAAATCTTCCTTTGAATGCTTCTAGTGGTTGCAGGGTTTCATTATTTTACTTGTGCCACCTTGGATGGCCTTTACTTTTAATTTAAAATATAACTGGTAAATACAATACATACAATTAAAGTAAAACCATGGTGTAGACATAATCCTATTTTATCTTTATAATAATGAAGTCAAAATCACAATTTAAAAGTACTTGTCTTTTCTATATAATGATCGTAAGTTCAATACTCAACACAATCACTTTAAAATTTGGGAAACCTTTTAATATGAGACATCCAATATAGGTTCTAAAGCCAATATAGGTTCTAAAGTTGATGTGGCTCAAGATGTGCTTGTGGCTTCCTTCTCCATAAAAATGAAATCTCGATTCCTGGTAAGGGTCGTCAAACACATTCCATAGTCCATATTATTGTAAATCTCGATCTCAAACTGGCATGGATCTTTGATCCATATACTTTAGAAACTTGATTCCAAATATGTTAGAATCACGATTCGAAACAACAACATATCTCTGTTCCACATATGTCAAAAACTCGATTCCGTAGATATCGGAAACTCGATTCCGCATATTAGTAAATCTTGACTCTTGGAGTGTCGAATCCAGGGGGATGGGAATCTCGATTCCTGGGAGGATGGAATCTCGATTTCATATGTAGATGAAACTTGGATTTATTTCGATCGAAACACGATTCTCAAAAACTAGGAATCTCGTTCCCAATTATTCCTATTGTACGGACAACGATTCCTAGGACATGAATCTTCTAGCCGGCCCGATTCCAGTTCCTAAAACGATTCGGGTTCCTAGGCGTTTCCAACAACTCAAGTCGCTTGCTGAGCCCTGAACAAGGTACATAGGTATACCCTGTAGTTTACTCAGGTGAATATTTTAGAGTCCTGAATATGGTGAAACTCAGTCTGACTTAAGCAAGTATTCTCGAGACCCAAATACTATGAAACTTTGGCTGACTCACCTAAGTAATGCAGTACTCAAGTGAGTTGGTACAATACACGTCAACTTTTTTTTTTTTGGTTTTTGTTTTTTTGGGGTAGGGATCGCGGTGGGGGTCGAGTAAATTTGTTTTGTCACCCCCAAAAAAGTAAATGTTAGGATTTGAAAGATTTCAAATTCGGATTTACTATTTATCCAAATCCTCAAGAGCTCGGATTACCTATATCTGAACTCAAAACTCAAATCTAGTTTGCGGATTATGATTGGCATTCTAGGAGGAAGCCTTTTACAAGGGTTTGAGGCATCCATTCGCACCAAGAGTGAAGATCAAGGGATAGGCCTTGAAATTTTGGGTTTCAGTATTTTCATTTAATTGATATGTTTTCACTATATCAATTACATCTGATTTATAATTATTTTTGTATAAGCTTTTTTTTTTTTATTTACATTTTCTGTTTTTGGTTATTCTTTTTCCCACCCTTTTTTCAAGGCAATAACATCAATTGTTTTTCGTATTCCATGTTTTATATACTCTTTTTTAATTTTCAATAGTGTTTTGGATATTTTTTGGGGATTTTGCAAATTTTGCTTTTTTGTCGCAAGAGGAAGGGAGGGAGGTGGCCTATAGTTTATAGAGTATGGCCTATAGTTTATAGAGTATGGTAGACAGTGCTTATTATTGTGGGGGTGGAGGTTCAGCCCTAACAGGATTGAGTTTGGCCAATGGGCAAAACTAAAAATGGCAATGGGCAAAACTAAAAACTATAAGCAGTGGGGTTGGGTACTGCTTTGTAATTGTAGCATAAACAGACGGTGATTTTGGAATAATGAAACAAAGTGGCATTTATGAAAGATTACGAAGATAGTAGAAATTATGGAGGCAAAACAGAAGATTTCTCGTTTATTTTTCTACTATTTTTTTCTGCCCTTGGGTTGGATGCTACTTGGTTCTGTCCACTTTTAGGGAAGAGAATAGGGCAGCGGCATACTTTTTAGGAGTTTTTATCAGTTCTCTAAAAATGCTTTATGAAGTGCTACAGTTGCTTAATGCATTTTTTTATATAATTGCTACTTTGTTCATCTTCTTAGTCTCTTAGAGATTGCCTAGTTGTGACAGATTTAGAAGCCTTGCATTCTAAGATTGATATGCTCATCAATTTATTGCCAAAAAAATTGCTTACTGACTGCTGCCTGATTACTCGTAGCAACTGTCTCTTTATAGATGTATTTTCTTGATGTGGATGATACGAATGACGAGGATTTGAAGAATGATGAGGATTTGGAAAATGATGATAATGTTGCACATGAGCACAGGTTTGCTTCATTTTTTTTTGGCTGCTCAATATTATTTGCCTATCAGCTTAGGAAAAGTATGCATGTTCCAACAGGCATATAGAAAAATGATAGTCCTTGGGGTCTTCACCATCCATTGAAATGATGAACGGTGATGAAAAGAGAGTGGGACCCTGTATGGGGGGGTGATGTCTTGATTTGGTGTGTTCTGGCCTCTCTCTATCACCATTTATCTATTCAATGGATGGCAGTGATCCCTACAGTTTAAAAAGAAAAATAGAAAGGAAAAAAGGATGGCTGATGACCAATGGGCTATGGTTTCTCATAGTCTATTAGAATGTAACACACTTCTACCATTCGACGTTTAAGGATGATAATTGATTTCTCCAGAATATGTAATAAGAGAGATATTTATAACCTAGTGACATAGACAGATGTGCTGTCTTTTATACACATCATTTGCATATCATGTTACCGGTATTGTTTTCTCCTGTATTTTGAAGTTTAAACATTTTATGGTGGTTCAAATTTTAGAGGAATTCTCAGTTATTACTTGGTTTCTTGTTGCTTTTTAATCTTAAGAATAAGAACATGATTCGATATTGTTTTATATGCTGCTTCTGATGTTGATATTTGTTGCATGTAAAATAACCAGAGTAATTATAGAAGATTTACAAAAGCTACGGAATGCTTCTTCTAGCAGCTTTTGCATTTCTGCAATATTTGTAGTCTTTCTCCAAAAAGGGGAGCAAATTCATGTTATTTTCATCTGCTTAAAACTTTATGTTCTTTTGCATAAAAATTTTCATTTATATGGTATTTTTTTTATAAGTAAATATGAAAACTTTTATACTTCTATTTAGCAATTTTGAAAATTCAAATCTGACAGGTTCCGATGATTATAAATGACAGATGACATTATTTACTAATAATGTATGTGCTCATTTGCAGAAATACAACGGGATAAAGCATATAGAAACTAAGCTCTGGTTGGGTTGAGCTAAGGAAACATTGTATTGGTTGGTTAAGTTGTGCTCTCCCTTTGTTGAACTTTACTAAATAAAGCTTTAAGATTTGAGCAGTCCCATTGAGCTAAGGTGACCATCTTCTAAATTTTTGAGTTTAGAGTGGTGTGTAGTTTTTGGGCATTAGGAAACAATTGGTAGGGCCTGGCCTTAGGTATCTAAGTTCGTAGTCTGCAAGTGCAGTTCACAAGAAATCCAGTGGTTTGGAGTGCCTAGGTGCATCAGCCTTTTACTATTTTTATTATAATACAGTTTTTACATTTTTTGTCCTCCATCAGTTTGGGACTTGAATTCTTTATCAGAATTTATGTTGTATTTTAATTCTGGTGTGATCCTTTATTACGGGCTGCTTTTGTTGTTCTTTTTTTTTTGTGGATAGGTTTTATCCCGTCATCTACATCTTAGCAACTATTTACACCAGTCAGAATATTTTTCCTCCTCAATGTCTCTTGGGTCCAAGTAAAATTTTCCATTAGACAGTCCTGCCTAGATAGTTGAGCATGCTCTTTAATCACTTATTTGGGGATGCTCTGTTAATTTGGGAAATCGCTTGATGGTTGTGACATTTAGGATTTCGTTAGGGAATTGGCAGGGTAGATGTGTCAAATGGCATCTTATATTGCTCTGTGAAGGGTCTGATGTTATTGGACGATGATGGGAGAAGTAACAAGGGTTGCTTGTTTAATGCCAAGCTGAGTAGTAACTTTGCATTGCAGTGATATCTGGGTTTTGAACTTGTTGCAAGATTAACTGGCTTGTGATCTAAACATGATTTGTCTTTTTCTTGCTATTTTCCCAATAAAGTTGAGTACAATTCGCTCTGTAAGAGACTTCTTACTCTTCTCATACTTGCAAAGGTGCATGTTATATGGTACCATCTTATTGGTTGGGAACATATTTCTTTCAGCATTTCTGTTGTTTTTGAATTTCTTTTCCAAGCCTCTTTGTTAATGCATCTTTTCTTTTAACCAGGCCTTTAAAAAACAAAAGGCTGACACAGGTAGAGCTAAATCGAAGGGCTAGGCGAAAGGAGCAGCTGAAGGCTGAATCAGAAGCCAAAAAACAGGAGAACATCTCAAAGGAGATTGACTGGTAATGTCAGTGTGCTTCCTATTATTAGAGTTCCAATCTATATCTGGTAATTGGTTTTCTGATAATTGACATCTATGAAACTTTGAAAAAGTATAGTATATTTCATGGACTGTGTGGAAAACTGTATTCTATATTGGGATGTCCAATTTTATTGACATGTCTGTGATAGGACAGTCGTACCCACCAGATTAGAACACGGCCTCAATGGTTTGGCTCCCACTCTATCTCCATTACCATCCATCCTGTCAATGGGTGGTGATGACACAATGGACTGTGGTTTCTCTGCAGCCCACTGAGTTATATCATGGTTCTAATAATAAGCCCTCTTGTACATGAGTTAATAAGAGCATGATTTTTTTACTTAATCCCAGCTTGGCGTTGTAATGGTGGCAGCTTACCTGATATAATTAAAGAAATCACCAAAGAGGATGAAGAAAAGCACAAGAGACTTGTTAGGCGTACAGTGGCTCGGCTAGAAAGACTTAGAAAAGCACCCCCACGCTTGGGGAAGCACAAGTAAACTATTCCATCCTTGTATTAAAATATGTTGTTTTTTCTCTTCCTGTAGGCAAATTTACATGCATTATATTCACCAGTTACATTCTGCATACTTTCTATTGGGTAAACTATAAAATATGCCACTGAATTCTGGAAATATTCCAATTTATTGTTGTTTATGGAGTGTTCCTAAAATAATCAGATGTGCTGTATGTGTTGACATGTAGGACTTTGAAATTTTATGCAGATGAAGTGAAGTTTGTGTGTGTGTGTGTGTGTGTGTGTGAGAGAGAGAGAGAGAGAGAGAGAGAGAGAGAGATCTTATGCTATGTGATTTGTGACTCTGGAACTCCTTTGGACCAGAAAACGAATTAGAGCAAATGAACAATGGAGAATAAATCAGTTGCATAACAATGTACTTCATACCTACCCAGTTAATCAGGAGAACATTGTTACCAACAAAAATAACTGGGTTTCTGTTCTTTTATCTTTGTCCTTTTCCTATGGGGTGTGGTTTCTATAAGGTTGCAACCTTAAACTATCCAATTAAGGCACACCTCTAAATTTTATCATAACATGTAATTTTAGTGTAAAAAATTCTTAGGATTATCTGAAAATCTAATTTCATATCTAGCTATAAAATTTTGAACTCATAAATGGTTAAAATCAAGTAGATCTATAAACATATGGAAATCTTGAAAATGGACAGTCTAGATAATGTGTTGCAAGATGGACTATTTCTGGGACTCAAAATCGTTTCTCTTTTTTTGTTTCATATTCATACATCTCGATGTCGAGATGATCAATTAGAGGGTTTTTCAACATTAAAACAATATTTTCTGATGGATTGTTGCGGTGCATCTTAAATTCTACATTTTAAGGTTGCAACCTTATATAAACTTTTTCCTTTCCTATGTGATACACTTTTTCCTTTCCTATGTGATGAATGATTGGGTCTCTCTTTGTTACTACAGATTTGAGCCAGAGCCAGTTCAGGTTCTTTTAACTGAAGAACTCACAGGATCAATTAGAACCTTGAAGGTTGAAATCTCCTCTTTCACTCCCTTTTTGGATTGGTGTTTTTAGTTATAGTTTACTGATGAGATTCAGAAGAATCTGCATGCCCATAACTACTCTGTTGTTTCTAAAACTTCATAATATTCAGGGATGTTGCACTCTTGCAAGGGACCGGTTTAAGAGCCTTGAAAAGCGAGGACTAGTGGTTCCTGGAGGCAAGCGCAAAAGGTACTTACCTCATAACCTATTTTGATTAATTCAAGGGAAATCACCTGTATAGCAGTAGCTTTTGAAAAAGTTGTATCCCAGCTTGCGTATTTGGTGCAGTTGTTTGCCTCCTCCCTCTCTCCCTCCATGTGTGTGTGTATTTGGTCGCATTGGGTGCGGGCTTCAGAGTCAAATCCAATGCAAAGGGCATGGGGTGATGTTCGTGTTCTCTCTCTCTCTCACACACACGTACACACACACAAAATCTTTTTTAAGGCACTTCCTGTAATTTCATCTTGCATTTTACTACTTGCCTTCAACCCTGTGAGAGAGAGAGAGACTAAATCTTTTTTTGGGCACTTCCTGTAATTTCATCTTGCATTTTACTACTTGCATTCAATCCTGTCAAACAATTTAAGCGCCAAATTGATATTCTCAGGAGTAACAAGGCATGTCAATTGTGTTTCCAGTACAACTCTGCAATTTCTTCTAAACTAGTAACCGAGTCTGTAATTCCTTTTGAAGCAATGCTGTGATGGTATTTACCTTTCTATTTTATTGAGCAAATGTGGTTAACTGCTTATTGCTTTGCAATTCTTGACAGACGTTAAATGCTGCTTCATTCATCAAAAAGTCTGTGATCGTGAGGCTGAGGTTTTCCGGGGACATCAATGTCATAGATCCATGTATTACTATCTTTATTATACCAAGAGGATGTAATTTAGTAATTTAGATAGGAAAATCTTTTCTATCGAAAGCGTGCAGGTTTGGTATTGAAATATTTAGGCCAATTTTGGTAATTTCTTGGCTGAGAAACACGAACAGTCATGGGATTATGGATGTTGTGTTTGATAAACATATTTCTTTCATTTTTATCTTGATATGGAATCTGATTTTTCTTGATTTTAGAGAGCATGTCTTTTGTATACAAATGAACCCCTTTGAACTTCGGAGAAAAACCCGGAAATGCCAAAATAGAGGCACTGCTAGATATAATTGCCACCATGCAAATTTAACACAGCAGTTGCAAATATGTGGTATATGGTTTATTAAGCAAAAAAATATGGCAACGGTTGAGTCCATCTAGAAATGTGTACCCTATTAAAAATCTATTTTTTGAGATTGTTTTTGGACCCATTTTTAAGGACAAATAATCTCCAATATGGAGATCATGAACATGAAAAAATAACTAAAGAAATTAAAAATAGGGAAAGTTTACATAGAGGCGAGGCTCTAAACAATAAAATTTGAGCCCACCTCAAAAGTTTCATTATAAGAGGTTGTTTTGATGCTTAAAAATCAAGTTGATCATTTGGGCGTCAAGATGCATGGATGTCAAGATGCATGGATATGAGAAAAAATGGATTTCAAGTTTTGAAAATAGTGTTTATTTTTTAGTTGTCATTTTTTCACTTTTTATAAATTTGTTGGATTTAGCACTATTTTTGAAACTTTAAATTTTATAATTAAAAATAAAAATATATTTCAAGGCTATAACAAAGCCTTTCAGTATTGAAACTATATTTCTTGATACTATTTGAAGGTTGGTTTTAATTTGATTGTTTAGAGTTTCGGCTCTATACAAACTGTACTTTTACAAATCGGAAAAATTTTGCATAGGTTTTTAATTCTTCATGTTATTTCACGGTAGACTCTTTTTATTTCTTTCAAGCAGCATAAGGAAATTTTAAAGGATTTCACCGTATTCTTTCATATCATATTTTTATTTTTTATTGACTTTTTTACTATAAAAATTAGTTCCAACAATTTTTTTTATATTATTTTAATTCAATTTTTTTTTTAAATGGGTGGAAAGAGAAAAAGATGGTTAAAAAGTTTTTGGGTTGAAATGGTATAAAAAGATTTATTGGGAGCTAGTTTTTATAGTCAAAGGTTAATAAAAAAAGGATAAGAAATGAGGGGGTATGATGAAATCTTTAATGGTTTCCTAATACTGCTTAAGAGAAAAACGAAAAGAGTGTCTACAATGAAATAATATGAGAAATTAGAGATCTATATAAAATTTTTCCTTAAAAATAATAGTTTCATAAAAAAAACATCTGGACCGTTTGAACTGTTTTTGGATGGATTGCTCATTTGCATCCATCTTTAAAATGGCTGCTCTATACCTCGGGGGATGCAAATATAGAAATGCGCCTCCGAATTCATGAAACAATTTTCTTAGGAATATACGTATCTATTACAATGTTCAATCCCATACGGGTGGCATTCGGGGGGAACTTCAGCACGAGCGGGTATGCAGTCGGACGCTATGTCGTCGTCTTACCCTTCTTAGCTCTCTGACAGTTTTTTTAATGAAATTTGTTTAGACATTCTATTGTTGATGCAATAGGTCAAGAAATTGGTTTGAAAGGTTGCTCAACTGGTATTATTGATGGTTAGTAAGATATTTTTTGTATCCCTAAATCCGTATTGTAACACTGATCGGTATAGTAAGTTTAGTTTGCTATGCTTTTGGATGTAGCTCTTTTAGAATGAATCACGTAAATCTTTGCGTTCTTGTGGTGTGTGTTTTATGTTTTATTTCTAATGTTCATATTGCAATTTATACTTTGGCATATTTATATTCTTAGCTATTAAGTACATGATCTTGATAAGAACCAAATTTTGCGGTACTTATTTCCCCACTTAAGAGAATTTGTAAATCCTAACAAAAAAAAATTACATGTAAATTACGCGGAAGAACTTGTTTTTTTATAGTTTTTTATCATCAACGCGAACAAGCAAAAATTGGAAGGCAAGGTATGGCTAGGATGTCTCACGCCCCTTACAGTCTACCTAAAATGGGCCAACGACCCACCCCAGCAGTGTGTTGCTAACATCTGATGACTCGGGTGTTGCTCAAAGCACTGTAGGAAACATAAGTGCTTGAACTGTATACAAAACCTAATGAATAAAAATAACTAATCAGAAAAAGGATAAAAAAATTAGTTCACCACCCTGTGACTCGTCAATAGTGATAAGTTTCCAAGCTCGAGTGCTGTAGATCCAGTAAGTGAAAAAATTTCGATCAAGTAGAGTAAGTGTACAGAAATTTAGATCCTTTGTTATTAACACAACTGGATAGACAATTTGTTTGATACATGTTTATGAAGGCCCCCATAATACTTGTGTGATTATGAGAAGGAAAAAGTTTATATCTCAATATATAAGAAGGTAAAAGTTTATATAAGGTTGCTATCTCATATTGTGGAAGCAAAGTGCACCTCAAAATATTTAGTAGAAAAAGGTGTTTTGAAGTTAGAAAATGTTCTAATCAATCATCTAGACTTGAGATACATGGATATAAAGAAAAAAAGAATTTCAAGTATTAAAAATAGCGTATCTAGTATAAGTTATCTGGGACATCTATTTTCGAGTGTTTATAAATATGTACAATCTACACCATCATTAGAATTTACAATTTTTATAATTTGGGTTGAATATAAATTTTCAAGCGATCGTAAGGTTTAAAAACTACCTCCCAGACAAAATGTAAACGTATGCCTTACTTCTAGAGTATAGAGAGGCAACCTTATGTCAACCTCACCCTTAGAAGAAACCAACCAGTTCAAAACATCACCATAGAAATATTTTAAGTGATTACAATATTTTGGCCAAAAAAAAGAAGTTTTCCCTTTTACCCACAAGTTCTCCTATAATGAATGATATGCTGGTGATTAAAATTAATAATCTCATAAGAAACAATTTTATAAAAAATTTTAAACAGTCATAGTTTCCCATTTTATTTTAAATTTTTTTTAATGAATTTGTGATTAAAATTAATAATCTCATAGGAAACAATTTGATGAAAAATTTTAAACAATCGAAGTTTGTCCTTTTATTTTTAATTTTTTTAATGATTTTTTTTTTTTAAACTTGTGGTAGGAGAAAAAGATGTGAAGAGCACATGTCAAGAGAGTGGTTCATTTTTTTAAAAAAAAATTTAATTTTATCATAAATATAATTTTGGTGGCAAAAAATTATAATTTTTCTCTTCCTTTTCCAATGGTGGCAAAAAATTTTAGGTGGTTCGAGAATCTATTTTCATCTCTAGTTATAAAATTTTAAACTTTAAATCCGGTTCAAATCAACTAGATCTATAAACACATGAAAATCTTAAAAATGGACGGTCCAGATAATGTGTTGCAAGATACACTATTTCTCAAACTCAAAATCTTTTTTCCTTTCATATGAATACATATCAATGTCAAGATGATCAATTAAAAGGCAGGGGAACTGCAGCGTAGCAATCTTCGAGGTTAAAGACGGCATCAACTGTGAAAGGCCGGTAGTCGCCGACGTTAGGCATGTGCGAGGAGGTGCCACACTGGAGCTCCACAGTGCCTCGGAAAAGGTCCTTGAGGCCTGCTGCCGGAATCCCGTTGTTGCCGCAGTATACTCTTCCATTTGCTATAACTTACGAGATTTCGGTGCCGTGAGGCCGTAACCAGGAGGGGCAGCTGCCCGAAAGAAGATACAAATGAGAAGGAAAGGATGAGGGCATGTAGAGGTAGAGCAGAAGGGCGTGATACCCTCTTAAAATGGAGGACCAATTTATAGGAAAATATGGTGAATATAGTGGGGTCGATATGGCTTTTTTTTAAGGCCCATCTCATTGTGGAATTGGGCTTGAAGTGAAGAGCCCAAGTGGATGGAACTACTATGATGGCTCCCATAATTGTTAAATATTTGAAGGGAAAGTCTCATATCCAGTCCACTTGGATGGAACTATTATCCAGGTCAGGTGCATGGTGGAAGGGTATGCAACCTTTCCAACGGTTCACATATTTCTACTATTAGCAAAAACCCTCAAAAGCCAACAAGCAACGGCTGGCACGAAAATTGTTGCGTTAACACACAGCCGTTTTCTTGCTTGTCTTTTTTATTTATTTATAAAAAATCCACCATTACATTATACAAATCACGTCCATAAAATAATTTGATTTTTATTTTATTTTTTATTTTAAAAATAAATTTTACTTAAATTTTGGAACGTAAACTCATTTTTATTCATATAAAGCACCATACAAATCCAACGGCAATGCCATTTTTTTTTGTTTAGATCAGAGGGGAATATTACCCATTTTAAAAATAGTTAGTGGTTTTCAAATGTAACCTAGTCCGGGGCCCTTACCCATTTTAAAAATAGTTAGTGGTTTTCAAATGTAACCTAGTCCTGTGGCTGAGGCTTTGGTGGTACTATCACGGCTTCAACTCCATTCCCAACGTCAATGCCTTTCATACATAGAAGAGACTTAACCCTCGCATCACCTTTCATCTCTCAATGTTCATCAAATCCTGAATCTATCTTTAAGGTATGATCTATGCTTCAAAATGGAAGCCCAGTTTATAGGAAAATAGGGAGACTAAACACAACACCGTTGCCCTCTCTGGTTCCCAATTTTCAAATACTTTTTATGCATTATTGGTATGAGCACTTAGCCCACTTTGGCAACGAAAAAGTGGAGCCATTCATTATTTAATTAGGGCCGAAGATTTTACAAGCTCTTATTTTGTTTTGGGATAATTTTGTGGGGAAAATACAGACCCCTACCCATTTTTTAAAGGGCAAGCTGTCTATGCTGCCCCTACAATATAAAACTTATATATTTCTCCAATGCCACGTCTTTACACTATTTTATTTTTATTTTTATAAATTATTTTGACACCAAATTTTGGATATCCATTCTTTTATTAAATTCGCACTAGCGAAAAATATAAAAAAATTATTTTCAATAAAATAAAATCACCAAAATACCCTTGAAGGTTTCAAGGTGTATTTTGGTCATTATATTTTATCAAAAAATTATTTTTAATATTTTTATAAGTGTGTCGCAATGAGAAGATGGCGCCTACCAAATTTCATATTCATACAATTTGCATAAAACAAATTAAAAATA